AACTGAACCACTTCCAGAGGTGCAACAGCTTTCCCCACAGCAATGGAAATGCAAACTGAACAACAGATAAGGAGGAAAAAAAAGAAGAAAGTGCTATTTTATAGCTTTCACCTCTCTCTAGTGGCTTGTATTAAGACATTCTCAATGGACTGCAGAACTTAAGACATTTAAAGCTATCTTCAATTTTGAATTGGTTTAACTACAGCCAGAAATTCTTAAATGCTTTCATTTCTTTAATAAACAACAGCCCATGAGAGTCATTTGGACTATTCTTTCATTTTGCCCTTGATATTTACACTTCAGGGAGAGAAGTAGAGCCTTAAAATGCAAGCCATTACAAAAAACTGCTTAATGAAGGATCCAACTTGTAGCTTCAAAATGTAGCTTCAGAATTCAGAACTACCAAGATTCTGCACACCATTTAATACATTTTAGATGACAGCAACTAAAAAAAATCCTCAAAACCTTCACAGACCGGGAAATTCACTAAGCAATTCTGCAGAGTGTAAGCCAATTCAGAATCCCACTGAGTCTCCAACAAGGTATCTTTCCAAAATTGTTCCTTGGAACTACAACACAAGAACTATCTGTGAAGCTTCTGCTTCCCTGTCTCTCCTCCCTGACACCTGTCAACGACGGAGAACAGGTCTGTCGGGAAACTTTTAATGAGCTGATGCACAGCTACCACCAATATGGCACCGCTCTATGCAAATACAGGAGTGTCACAAGAGAAAAGAGTCTTCAAGTATTTGATCCACCTGACTGTGTGTTTACTACAGTCAGAAAAACACAGAGAGATCCTGACAGTCCAATGTTGCAGCTTAAGTGAATGAAAAGAGTGACAGAAGTCTCTGTACAGTGCAGGACTGACTTGTGATTATGCTGTAAAATGCCAACTTCAGACTCTATTAGGGAGAGAAAAGTCACAGATGCAGCATTAACTTTCTCATGCCAGAAGGCATTGTCTGTTTTATACTCTATAATGTACCAGATTGGGCAAAATCTGTTTCAGCAATTTAAACTGTACAAGGTGGAAAATGCTGCAGATCTCTTTGTGAAAACACCGTTTCTTCTACTGCAACAAGCTATAAAACTTTCGTTAGACAAAAAAATAGCTACTTATGAGTATGTTTTAAATGTTGCTACACTTTAAAGTGACAATGGCACAGAAAGTGTGAAAATATTTCCCTCATTCTAAACTTATAGCATTAAATCACAGTGAAGTACCTGTGCAAAAATTTAAAACCAATATTTTATTACATTATTTGTAATAATATATTAAGTACATACATATTTGCATTCCACAGTGCTTCTGATCGCTAATGCCCTTTCTACAAAGATGCCTCAACCATTAGAACCATATGCTTGCAAATTAAAGAAATAAATTCCAGTGTCAACATGAGTGAGAAATCTGTGTTCCTGTTATTCTCCTTTTTAGTCCACTACACAGACCTAATTCACTCCCCCAAGGCACCTTTCACGTAATTTTACTCAGAATGACCTTTGCTTCTTCTAAGAACACTTTAAACGAATTAAGAAGTGGAACACTTTCATATTAGGCACAGAATTTGCTATGTTAAGTGCTGAAAAAAGCCCTCATTATTTCTGAGAGAAACTATTACATATATATATATATATATAAAATATATACCACATTCACAATTAAGTTCAACTTGACATGACTCTACACAGCCCAGTAATTCCCATTCTTGGCAGTCAAAGAAAGTAGGTAACAGGGACATCAAGAACTATTAAACTTTGGAGCAACTGGATATGATGCTCAATGAATAAAGACATAGTTATGTTTTATCTTTTATGTTTTATTATTTACAGGCACAATGTTTAAACTATGGACTGTGATTTAAAACATGAAAAAAAGGCTTTGCGTAGTCTCAAAGGGAACAAGAGGAAAGGACTGTAGACTGGGGGAAGATCACTGTCATCTAAGAATGCAGTTCATCACAGTGTTGTGATTTTTTATTGGTTTTCCTTTCACAGTCTGCTACACATAAGAAAAAATGTTTTTTCAATGATCTCGATAGTTAATCAGTTTGACCTTTGCTTATACTTTCCACAATAAAACTGTTTCCTAATTTATTTTTCCTTTTCATAAACCCTTAGGCTGATCTTCCATCTTTAAAAAGATCAAATATTTTATCATACCTAATATCAGATTATTGAAGATTTTGGTACATGCATGGGCAGTTCATCTAATCCCATTGACCTTTTCATATTAAAATCCAGTTTTATTCTTGATCTGCTATTTCTTATAAAAAAAATAAATCAGCTGTTGTTCAGATGCTGGTTCTTTATTCTTATATGAAAATTAAAGCCAAACAAGACTTACTTTTTATTTAAGTGGAATTGAGAACATGCATCCAAGATTTAAAAGAAGTTGAATGTGTTCAGTTTTTTATTTGGAATATTATGTACTGTTCAAACCACGAGGCTGCTTACTGACTAAAAAGTAAGAGCACACATCTCAAGTAATCAGACTGCCACCTGTTTAGCTCATATTTCCTTATTTAAAATTCATGCAGAGTTAATATTTGCTGGTAGATTTCTTTCTCTTTTACGTATAACTAACTGATGCCAATGCCCTCATATCCAGCCAATTTATTCCAAAAGAGGTTTCCCACAGGAAAAATAAACCTAACTGTCCATCCCCGAAATCACTGGTTTATAAAACACCAAACAATAAATAGGAAGTGAAAATCTCTTCCACGCAAAGCAAGTGAACTTCCAACACAGAAAAAACACCACACGTGACAGAGCAGATGAACATTACAATTAACATGTATCATGGGGAAAAGTTAAAGCAAGTTGCACAAATCAAGTTTATTCTGCCAAAAATCTGCTTTGCTACAGAAAGAAAAAAAGGGCTGAAAGGGAAACTTTGGTCATTAAAATTGAATAGTAATTTATGCTCTGCTAGAAGTCAGTGCTGTTTATAGGAAACGTAATGAGCTTTTATCTTAGGGAATGAAACAAATCTAACTGCAATAAAATCTTTTTCATATGTATTCTAAGCTTCAGGATTATTAGCAAATTTGCTCCCATTAATATGCTTTCTCTGTTTAGGGTGCTACAGCTTAATCTAACTTTACTGACTCCTCTGGTTTAATTCCTGAAGTCAACTTAGAGAACATCAGAGGCTTTGAATCAAACTATAAAAATCTCAAAGCTGCAAGGTCAAGTGTCAGCCACAGAAGAAAATTCATAAAAGATCATCAAAAGTGGCTGGTAAACCATAAGACTTCATAAAGAAAGGAAGAAAAAGATTAAACTTTAAAAAGTCACCTCTAGAGAAGAATTAACAAATACTAGAAAACATTTTTGGAATTTAAATAAGATACCAAAATGTTACTTGCATGAATACAATTAATGACTATGTTACTCGACTACAAAACGATAGATCATTTTGAGTTGGAAGTGATCCACAAGGATTATTCAGTCCAACTCCTGTCTCTGCACAGAACAACCCCAAGAACCACACCATGTGTCTGATTGTTCTTCAACTGCTTCTTGGACTCTGTCAGCCCTGGTGCTGTGACCACTGCCCTGGTGAGGGAGCCTGTTCAGTGCCCAATTACCCTCTGGGGGAAGAACTTCTGCCTAATATCCAACCAAAACCTCCCTTGACACAACTTCATGCCTTCAAGGCCAGGTCCAACACTGTCCCACAACAGTGCTCAGGCAGAAGCAGCCAGCTGGGAGCTGTTTAACCATGCACCTTTATTCACATATGTGGTACATTCAGGGCTGTGATGTACAACTTGTCTCTTCAGTCTCTGCATTAAAACACAAATCCATCTTCAATCCTCTACAGAAGATCAGTTCCATTTTGTCCATGCCAATGAAGAATTCAGCAGAAAAGAAAAAAGTGAGGCATGGAGACATTTAATCAATATGAAGAGAATTCAGTTTACATGCAGGAAAAAATCCCAACCTGGAAATGGACACAAAGTCTGAGAAATAGCAAAAAAATTGTATGATAAAGACACTCACATAAAGCTGTGAAGAAGTCTGAGTTGAAACAACAGCAAAGTGTGGTTGATTGATGAACTATTCCCCAAGTCCTTGGGGAAACAAGAGTTCTGCTCTCACTAGGCAGAAGTTTGAGATAGAAGAACACAAACTGAAAGCAAATGATGGCCTAATTAAAAGAGTGTCTATCTAACAGCTAATCACTGCACTGAAGAGAGACACTGACTGATAACACTGAAAAAAGGAGACAAAAATTTGCAAACCTGGATCAACCTAGTGGAAATGTGTATCCAACTTCTCCCTTCTCTTTTCCTTCATATATTCTGGTGCTCCCCCAAGTATTTATCTTCTGATGAATCATTAATGCCAGATCAAAACAAAACTTGGTGTTATCTTCATCAAGCACTCTCACCTACCTTCACCTTTGACAACTCAGCAACAAGTGTGCAAGGCAGCACAGTCTATTCCACATGAAAAATGTCCAACAAATGAACTGAGCTTTCCATCACATTCACCAGCCTATGCTGCTGATTGACCAAAAACAGTCAGTACCAAATACTGACTGTGTAGTACAATTGAACTATATGTATTTCATATACAGCCCAGGATCTGTTATTCTCTATCAAGTGTTAAAACAAGAACCATGCCCTGTGTGAATGGACATGCACACACACGGTGCTCACTCTCAAGCTACAAGACTTCAAAGGCTTAAGAGTAAACTAAACATAATCATTATACTGCTGACAAAACTTCTGAGATGTGTTTTTTTTTAAATACCCCACTGAAATGCACTCTATTATTTTCACAACCTACTTCAGAAGGAGTTGTTTTATTACTGTTTTTTTTTTTCCCTCATCACTTCTCCTAAGGTCAATAAAAAGCAGAAAGGCACAATCTACATGGATTATCAATGCTTACAGATTACATAATCCAAAAATCCCAAAGAAATGTTAGAAGTATTTAATGTCAAGGCAAAAAACTATTACCTTTAGGTGCTTTATCTATTTGCTTACCTTTACTTGCACTCTCAACATGCTGTAATTCATCTGGAAATTTTAAGATGTCCCTGTAATTTTCCTCACAGATTTCTGCCAGAAAATGCAACAAGGTTGTTTTCTGATCTGATGATTTAGTATCTCGAATCTAATGAACATAGGAGAAAAAAAAGAGAAAAAAATCATTTTTTTTAGTAAAAATGTTTAAATAAAGTGAATACTGCAGATGTAACTCATTAGCAACAAGTTACCTACACCGGTTGCCTGCAAATGAAATAAATGATTTCATAAATCAAATTCCTTGAATTCTACATAATTTAAGGCTACAAAAGGAATCTACCTTATGCACCACTTTTAAAAAAAATAATTCATTTTGATGAGAACAAAACCTGAAAACAGCCCATAAAGTTCTGAGGTTTTAGCACTAGCAGTTCAGAATGCTCCCTGTGATAAAAAATAGCTGTGAGCAGAGATTAAAGAGAACAGAACTGAGTTCATTCCTTCAATGCCACAACTGCCAAATCTCTAAAGGAATCCCTCTGAAATGCTGCATAGCTGGACATCATGCTAATAGCCACAATTTGCATTTTGACCAGTCAAGTTAAAGTAATTCCTTGTTGTAAATCCACAATTTCTTCTTGAAGCAAAATTTAAAACATGCTGCTTTAGCCTAAAGACTTTGAGGCAAATTCTATACAGACACATGAAATAAAAGCACCCCACCTTACAGGAATATAGAATGACAATAAAAAAGCAAAAATAATCCTGACTGCAGGTAAAAGGAGCTTAATACATCCAGGTTTATTTATGAAAAGCTGCGAGAAAACTGCACAATGTGAAGTAACACATTTTCACTGTGCATATTTTCACTGTCCTCTCAACTGCAGCACACTTAGTTGCAAGCATTATTCTTGCAAATGATAGGCTAATGAAGAGAGTCTTGAGTGCATTAACTGCTGGAATCAGTTTCTTATTGAAAAAAAATAATTCTGAAACAATGGTTAAAAAATAAGTCCAGTGACAAGTTTCCAAGTAAACTTTTGGCTAAATCCCACAGCAGAGTGCAGGTGTCTACACAACAGAACACCATGAACGTAAGAGAATGAGAAAACAAAATTAAAATCAAAATTTCTTAGTTTGCTCTCTTTTATGCAGATACAAAGAATGAATGTATGAGTTGACTGAAGATCTAGTGGAAGTCAAGACTTCCTCTTATTCACAAAGGCAGTGGAGTACATGTACGTCAGAGTTTGAGATGAGTTTATTTCACTTGACATAAAGAATTAAGTAATACAAGTGTTTCTGTAAAGAGGTGTTTTAGCCACATTGCACTAACTCATGTAGTGCTGTTCTCATATATAAGTAAGCTACAACATACACAACAAATGAAATAAAGGATTTATTTAAGAAGAATACACAAATGCGTATGTAAAATCTCCTATTTGTTTTCTCATTCTCTAAATCACTTGAAGTTCTAATTCTATAATCCTCATGACAGGCTTGCCATCGATGTTCAATTTAATAGAGGCCTTTCAGCTTTAAGGATTACCCTGTTAAGAATAAATGAGTGCAGTGGAAAAACAGGCTTTTAAAAATATAAGGTATTTAGGCAATTAAGAAAGCAATTTAATTCATACCAATTCGGCGATTAAAGACTAAACAATGCTCAGTAATAGTACGCAGTTAAAGGGCTTTAATGTGCTACATACACAGAAGTTCTTCTGACTTGAAAAAAAAAATAGATTTAGTGGCTAAACATCTGCATGGGAAAAAAAAAACGCATTTCAATTTGTCTGTGAACAACAGTAGTGGGATTTGCAGCCTTTGATCTGACATCATCAAGTGGATAAAGCACTTTTTTTTTTCTAAATGGACAAAATTATTTTGCTTTCAAATTACAACAGAAACATGTTTTGTCACCAACAGCAACATTGTATCAACAAGAGTCAGTATTAGCACCCGCTGTGTTGTTTAAACCTGGAGTAAACATCACTCAGATCTTAAACACCTCTCTCAAATTCACTTCTTTGGCCCAATCATCAACACATCTCTGCTACATTCATCCTTATTTTTAGCACAACGCAGATAGTTCTGTTTGATCTTTAGAATCAAAATATATAAATTAAAAATCAAGTTCCAAGCCTACCAGGTTATTAAGTTCTGCTTACAAGACCAGCAGGTAGACTTTGATAATACTCATGGGTCCCTTCAAACTTAGGATATTCTGTAATTCTATGATTCAGGGTAAACTTTGAATATTGTGGTGTTAAAATTTAAAAATACAGGTTTTGAATCTATGGTCTTTCTTTACCTGAGAGACAGAATTTGGGAATAACACATTTAGTTAAAAAAAAAAAAAACAAAACCAAAATAAATTGTTATATCAGTGTCAGCTACAGAAAGTAGCTCCAGCTGAATCCTGAAGCATCAATTTGAGGGTCAATACTCTCAGATTCATTGTTTGGGAAAGGATTAAAGACTCATGTACACAAAGAGTAATACTCAGTGCTCCTGTTCAAATCAAGTTTTACACACAGCACCATGTTCTGTAACCCAGAAAAAAACCATCAGCATAACAAAAATCTCCCTTTACATATAGCATTAAGTAAAACATTTAAACCATGCCAATCACACCATAACCCACTTTCAGAATGGGTTTGGTCTTTTTACAGGTACTTCTGGATGCAGCTTTCAGGTGTGAGGGTTGAAAGCGACAGCCAATGTAAGGAAAAATTTATGTATGAGCCATCACTAGAGTGACACTTTATTATAGCTATAAAAAAGCTTTCTATTGATTTTTTATGAGATTATATACCTTTTCATATCCTAGAAATCTTTCCCACCTTAAGAGAACAAGGGTTGGTAGACAATAAATATACACTCATCAGTAATACTCAGACCAGATAAACAGCTTGTCTTGTACTATTTGCACTAAGAACACAAAGTAACATAAGATTACTTATTACATAAAATACACACTGATGCACCTGGAATGCTACAAGAGCTTTATTAAAACTGCAAGAGCTTGCTGTTAGTCTTCACATTAAGTCACCACCACAGGAACAGAAGTTGTCCCTGCACATGCCTAAAGCAAAACTCTTCTTTCTGTTACCTTTCCATGAGGGTTCTCCTGTTGCAACTGGGGTTCAAGAAAGCAGCTGCTTCCTTCTTATAAATTAAACAAACACAGCAACAGGTAGAAAGATTAGCCTTTAGTGAATTATTACAACAGCCTCCTTCAACCTTAGAACTTTTTCTGCCATATTTGTATTTTCAGAGGGCGCTTCATACTCAGGCAATGAAGATGCCCTGGTGCACATGTGGGAAGAGCTGTTCTCGTTTGCCAGTGTTGACGCAGCACCTGAACTCTGATGTTGATGTCTTATTTGAACAAAATTAAGCCCTCTGCCTTCTGCCAAAGGTTGTTTACAAATCATTTCTATCTTCAATAACATAATACACTGCAATATAACATCCAGAAAGATAATCTGTTTTTAAGGATTTGCAATTACTATACAGGCATTAGCTTTTTAGCTCAGACCAGACAGGTTGGAATTTGTGCTTTCTTTTATTTTCTTTAGCACATTTTAATAGAAGTTGCTGCACAAGAACAAATTTCTGTGTATGAAATAACCAGCTCTGTTGGAAAAACATTTATTTTCCAAACCCAAACATTCATCCCAGATCAATATTTGCCTTTTTTTTCTTTTTTTTTTTTTAGATTATATAATGTAAGTACCACATCCACTAAATGGACAATTAATTTAAGATTGTTCAAGAAACAAAACCAAAAAAAGAAATCAATACAAAAATTAGGTTTCATTGAAAAATGAATTCATCACATTAGGATTCTGCACATAGAAATGTGTACACAGACATATCCTACCTTGCTGACAGCTAGCTCTAAAAAAAAATTATTTAAAAGTTCCCTTATCATGGGTAGAAAGTCCACTGACTGATAGTATAAACTACTAGCCTAAAAAAAGGAGGTATTATACCAAAACACAGAATAAAGACTCCCAAATTCCTCTAGATAAGCTTGAATGATGCAATATATTCCCTAGGAGCAGAAATGAAGATACCTTGAAATTACTCAAGGAAAACCTCTAATATGGCAGCAGTGCCTTCTCAAATGGACACCACACACCACAAAAAAATTTAAAAATGAGGAAAAACCTTCCCATGTTCACACAGCCTTCAAAATTTAGTATTATCTAGATGCCCAAGGAAACACACACATTAAGGCACATGACACTGCCAAACAGCCCTTGCTCCTGCTGTTAGATGTCACTTCTTTCTATTGGTGTCTTCTTTAGCCAAGAAATATAAATTGGAAATTTTACTTCACAGCAAGATTTCACTGAACGGGCTAACACACTCCCCCTGCCATAGTCACACATACACAAGTTTCATTTTCTCAGTGAAGACTGATTATTGACCAACAATAAAACTTTGAGACTGAATAATGTAATGAAGCTGGTAGGTGGTTGTAGACAGATACTAAAGTTGGTGCTTGTAAAAGATATGCCCAGTTGATATAGTTTAATATTTTATACTGTTCACGACAGTTTAAAACCATAGTCTTAGTTCATAACCAAAGCCAATAAAGTAATCTTACTATTTTGGGTGACCAACTGCAATTATCACTTGAAAACAATCAATGCACAAAGAAAGCCATACCCAAATAAAAATCTGCCAACTTAAAAATCATTAAGAAAAAAAATCTGTTGAAAATACTATGTAAACAGCTCTTACTGATAAAATTCAACACCAGTGGAGTGGAAGGCTACCTCCCTCAGTATGATACTAAAGCATAAGTACAGGAGCAAAACCATTTGAGAAAAAAATTAGTCTTGCAAAAGCATATTACTATACAAATCTAATTGAAATTAGAATGGCAAATACATAAACCAATGAAAATTGGATTTTTAAATAGCAAAAACTATCTTTTAAAATAAGTAATTAACAATAAATTCCAGTTGCAGACAATGCACATGTCACACTGTCCAGGGACACTGATCTACATTTCCATTAACTTCAGTGACTTGTTCTGAATTTGGAACTTATGAGTGATAATTCATAATATTCAATCAATACATGGAGATGTTAATGATATAATTTCATGTCTGGATCTTGGCAAGATCATCTTTTCTGTTTCAACCACCATCACTGTCTGTGATTATTTTTAGCCATGACCTTATCACAAAATATATCTGGTACCTAAATGCAACAGCACAGTCAACACTTTATTATATTACACAGAATATTTAAGTATTTCCTCTAAATCTCATAGAGAGGGGAAAAAAAGAACAGAAAAGAACACTTCCCTAAAAATACCTACCTTGAAAACAAATTTAAAAAGGTTAGCAAATGGATTTTGTTTCTGAGGGCAATGCTGAATTAAGAGAATTAAATAGTCATAGATTTCTGTCTCTGTTATTTTTCAGAAGAATTTAGCTGTAAGCACAGGTAGCTGTGCTTCAGCAATTATTCAGTTCAGCAGAGAACAATTTGCAGGATTAGTCAATCTACATTAGCTGTGTCAACATGTGAAATTTGCATTGACAGCAATTCATAAATCTATCACCTGGAGTGCAAGAGCTCCTTCTCAGACTTCCACTCTGCTGCAGTACCATTCCTGCACAGTCACTTCCCCACCCCCTTGGTAACAACTAGTTTTCCACTTAAAACATAAATTTCCCTTTAGATTCCACTACTACCATAAAGAAAATGCAGCATGAGATCTACGAAAAAAAATCCTTCAACTTGGCTTCTCTTTCAATAAAGCTATTAAAGAACAGAATTATGCTTCTTCTCAGATGATGATTTTTATTTTATCAGAAGTTGGCAACATCTTTGCATTAAACCACAGCAAGCAGAGTCTTTCCCTGATGAAGTATGTCAGATGACACTTGCTGGGTACATGAAGTACGATTGTGCCCCGAGGTTAAATCTCATTGAGATATATATCCAATCTCCTCATGATGCCCAAAAAAGGGACCTGAAATCTGGATCCTCTGATTATATTTAAAAAAAAAAAAAATTCTGCAAGTTTTAAGCTATTTTTTTTAATCTCTTTCAAATCATTGCAATTCATTAAAATAAAGATACCTTCAAAGGTACTTTTCAAACTGAGCCAAGTTTGGATCAATGCCTTACACACATTTTACCAGATAAACAAACAAGCAGTGCACATGAAATTCTAGCTACTCTAGGTTCTGGAGTTCTTGATGTGCCCCATATTTTGCCACCAAAACTGAAGTCAAACTTTGGTTAAGGGTTAACAATGTTCATCTTAAATCCAAATAATTTTTTCCATGACAGTGCTTGAGGGACAGCTGGGTAGAGGGTAGAGCTATTTAACACACTCAGGGTTCTGTGTGTATTCTATCGATAAAATAAGTAAACAAATTCAGATTGAAAAAATTTGTTCTACTTGTGTACTCCAAAAAACTCAGAACAGACAACTAAACTTCCTTAAATCCCCATTGCACCAAGTCAGCTATAGCAGGAACCATCCTGGAAATGCTTACTCTGTATTTCCCTATCCACTATTAAGTGCAGAGGTGCAGTTGGTAAATTACATTGATGGAATGTTTTTCCCTGCTTAGGATACTTTCTCACACGTCCTGAGTTTCATGAATCTGCACTTCCAAGTTTTACAGCTTCAGCTTACCTTGCAAAGAAAACTGATGTTGAAGCCAAGGGATTGTGCGTTTCTGGAGCCAGAGTTCATGTAGTTTCCAAGGAACAGCACCAACTCCAACAGCTTACTGAAGCTTTCACTTTTCTTCAGCTCCTCACAAGCCATTGTCACTGCCATGATGTCAGGTTTGATGTTGTTCACGTGCTCCTCAAACATGAGCCGGAATAGGATCCCATTGAGACGCGGCCGCAGCATCTTCACTGAGCTCATCTGCAAAACACAAAACGTTGCACCAGCACATAAAAAACCAAAGGGTTATTTAAGCAAAATAGTTTGTATTAAAAAAAAAAAAAAACATCATGCAGCCACCAAGTCTACAGTTTCTGTGTGTTTTCACTGCCTATCTGGTATTTCCAGGAATCTGTAAACTGCTCACTGGTATCTTTCCCCAAACCATACACTTTGCCTGAAAAAAAATCAGTAAAAATAAGAAAGTGCTTTGTTATTCTGAACCATTTAACTTGTCAATTCCAAGCTCACTGGCAATAAATGCCCACTGCCAAACCCCTTGTTCCCAGCAAAGGAGATGTAAGGCAGTTCTACCAGTTCACAAGAACCAAAGATCAGCCTCAAAGTACAGGTTGCAAATATTCTGGAGGTAGATACAGAGTTTTGGGCTGAAATTCATGACAATAACTCTCATATAAAAACCAGTATACCTGGAGATACTAAAGTAAGGACATACTAATGAAATAGTCTCAGTTCTGATCCCATGGCATCAGACTTTATAAGAAACATACAGCTTGCTTTTCAACTTTTTAAGTAAATTTTGTAAAACTACTGCCCAGGATCCAACCACCTTCGAGTTTCAGACACTTGCCAAAGTGTAATATAGGACTAATTCCTTCCTGATCTGATAAAAAGGTGGGAGGTCATAAATCATGCTGTGGTGACCATGTAATGACATTGATACTGAAAAATATGTACAATACTCATTAGTTTAGATCTCCAGTACCAAATTCACTAGACTAATAACCAAAATATGGTGGTCTACCATATTTTGCACAAGTGATCAGTTATTTCCTCTTACTTAGAACACTATAATTCACAAGGTATATTTAAATTAAGAGAAAAATATGTATTGATTTTTTTTTAAGCTACTTAAAAACTTTTAATTGCAAGAATGATTATGTTCCAAATCTAACTCCTCATTTTACTTAGCAGAATACAGGAAGATTTTTTTCCCCCTCTGTATTCACTCTTAGTGGTGTTCCTGAAGCACTGAGAAAGAAAAGCTTTGATATGTGACAAATCACAGATCGTGACCACGAAAACAAAGATTTTGGTGTGCCTCTGTCTCTGCTGCTCAAAGTTTTACCCTGGTTCTTTGAGGAACCAGGATTTTTCTACTGGTGTTATCTCCCAGATACAGCAGCGATAACTTCTGCAGGAAAGAACTGAGTGGTCTGAATAAAAATGAATTCGTTCTAAAATGAACATAAATATGAAGGCACTCCAGATGGTCTCAAACAATTCCTATGATCAGACTGGAACAAGGAAAGGATCAAAAAAGAAGCATTTCAGCATAGCCAGAGTTTTTTTTTTATAAATCTACATTGTCACAAATTTCTCTGTGAGCCTCTCTAAGCCCAAATCATTGAAAGTCTTGCAACATTATTCTTCTAATCATTCTGTATTTCAGAAATATCATACTGAAAACATCTGCCTTAGAAGGATCTACTTAGACTAATCTGCAGTAGATAGAAATTAAAATTAATCTCATAATTTGCCTTAACTTTTGTAGAACAATCTCCAATTACTGTTTTTACTCAATGTGGCACAGAAAAAAGTTGTCAAAAGCTTTAGATCCTGAAAACAAAATGCAGCGAAACACGTATAAGCCAACAGAACAGTGTGACAAAGATTTGTGAAGAAGAGTCCTTGACAATACTTCAGCCAACTGTACTTTCTTCTTTTAATACTGTGTGTCAAGTGTCATGGAACACTGAGCATTTATTTGCTTTGCAAGGTAGTTTGACCACCAAACCAGCAGTAAGTTTTAATTTCATTTGCTGACTTGCATAATCTTTTAAAAGTATCTTCACAATTTCCCAAGAGCTGTTTCAGCTGGGTTGTTTCCTTAAAATTCAGAACATTTTTATATACATAATGCCTTTTATATATCACCAGATGATGACCACAAATGCTATTTTAGTTCCTCCCTCTCCACCTTGCCCTCATTTCCCTTTCATATGCCTCTTTCTAAATCTGGGTGTTGGATGCCTGACAAACATGCTGAACTTAGAGAAACCTGCTGGAGTAGGAAAGGTGTAAAGACCACATTCACTTAGAAAAAGGTCCAATTCTCTATGGTTCTACAAAATTAGTGTCCAAGACATATAAGAAACAAGACATGGAACAGCAAACATTGGCTTCCACCACAAACAGTTAAAGAAGCAAGAAAATGGGTATTTCTTTTCCAGTTCACTGTCAGTGCTGGACTGCACGTCATTATTTCCCCTTCTGGGCTTTCATAAAGGTCTTGACTGAACTCTCTACCTAATCAAGTTCTTTATTCAGTTCTTTATGCTTTATTATCACCATTCAATTCTCAAGTCCTGTATTAAAACTAGGATCAAAGGCTATTGGAGAAAGGCAAAAAGCACAATTAAATTTGCCTCACTTCCTAAGAAAAAGCTGACATTCCTCTAATACAAATTTGTCAACTTACTCAGACAACTTACCCTCTTACCTATATTACATTAAAGTTGTCTCTTTTTTTTCTCTAGCAATGTTCTAGGAAGATTAATTCTTCAGCAGCTCTAGAAACTACAATGAGGCCAAACAAGTGGTAAATAAATTCAATTAAAAAAAAAATTAAAGATTCTAAACCAATGCAGCTTGTACAGTTCTCCCCACTTAGTCCACCTCCCAGTCAGGACTGTTCAGGACAAATAATCCTGGTCCAACAGCAAAAAAAGGGTCACAAAATATGCAATCACTACACAACTACATTGTGAAACTTATGCTTTTATAATACTAAAAACGTTCAACTGGCACTGAAATGGAATTGCATTTCCTTACTAAGCTGCAGCATTTCCCATATCATAAAAAACTTAACTCTTGAACACAAGTTTTACATTTAAAAATCAGATAACATTCTGCCTAGCTTACTTAATGTTACACAACTGATTCAGTTAATCTATTTTTCTTGCTCTACTTCAACATCAATGCCAACTTTCCTTTATATGAAGTTGTGTTGCCTTTTTTGATCCCAGTATATAACTTCAAAAAGTTCCAATAACTAATTAGAACACATAATTGATTTTAACATTTAATCTAAATGAAAATGCAGTTCTAATTTTCATTTACATATCAGCTGAATATTAAGTTAATCACTCTCTTCTAATAAGTTAATAATTTACTAAGTATGGGTTTTCTACACAAATTTTAAGCAACTTATTCCAATCTTTATTAAATTTGATGGGCAAAGTGATTATACAATTAACATATCTTAATAATTAACATGCCTAAATTTACATACAAATAAGGATACACATTTTAAATATTATTTAAGATAGGAATAGAAGAAGACAGACAGACTAACATCAAGGTTACAACTATTACTAATGCAGAACTCCAAACTTAAGTTGACATATAGGAAAAAAGAAGCCCAGTCAGGTAAAGATTTTAAAGTTCAGCTATACTTCTTCCACTTCAATGGATAGTTCAATTAAATCAAAATCAGAAACAAAATCAGCATTTTAGTACTAGTAAAACAGTTAGAGGCCTCTGCAAATAAGACAGAAGCACTATCCATAAGGAAAATACTGCTTTTTATTAAACCAGATGGTAAAGCTGAATAAGCAAACAAGCTTCAGGAAACTCAGTTCCTTCATAAGGCAAACATAACCATTTGGAATTATTTGATTAAGCAGTTTTTGTTAATTAACGTTGCATTAAATAGTTGAAACCTCTCTCAACTTTCTATAGGCAGTCATTCCTCAAAAACATAAATCAATGAAACAGTGTTCATGACTGTATATTGGTACTGTTGGGAAATAAGGATACTTTTATGACTATTTCAATACAATCAACTGAAAAAACAAGGACCACCTAGTAGTAATCCTAAGGTATGATCACCAGGTATATAAGTAGCATCCTAACCCAGAAACATCTTTATATAAAAGCTATAGAGAGCAATGCATAGAAACAGGATGAAGCAGAAGAGACAAGGTAGGGACGATGTTTATATAGGGGAATGTGTGGGGTTTAAATTGTTACTGATCAATTAATAGATGGTAATGTTTTACTATGGTAGTTCTTGCAATAAGACTAACTAATGTATCAGACTTCTACCAGAATTCCTCATCTTTGTTTTGAAATAAAAGATTTTTGGAACTTTATACCATTTATTGAACAAAAAATATCAATATGCTAAAGTTTTTCAAAAGAACTCATTGATATCTTTCATTTTCCAAATTCCCTACAAAAATCACATTAGGTCATATTCTGTTACTTGCCCAACCGAAAAATAATGAAAAAAAAAAAAAAAGAAGGGGAAAAAAATCACTTAAAAGGCATTTCTGAAGTCAAATTATGCTCAAATTGGAGCTTTTTAGTAAAAAGCTGATTTTACTCTTCCCTTTTAAGAGGTCTCTATTCCTGTTTTAATGCATTTTAATGCACATAATGCCTTAAAAATCCAGCAAGAGCAAACCTGGCTCCTGTGGAGCTGAGGATAAATCCTGAGCACATTACAGAGGCATCATCAGCATCCTAATCTTTTGGACTGGCAAAGTGAAGTGAAAACAGGAACTAATTTGCCTAAGGACTTATCAGGTCCTTGGAAGACCTAAAGTGATTTCCAAGTCCTGGGTAGTCCTCGGTATCAACCATCACACCAAGCCTGGATTAAAGCAATTTATGCAAATTCCATAATTTCCTTCAGAGACAGGTTCCAACCATTATAACACTCAATACCCCTGCTTTTGCATTACAAGTATGTATTAAATGCTAATAAAAGAAACAGAATATAATCTACAATTTCAGTCTTAATTTGAATCCACCCCTCTTCTAGAGCCATTTTGCAAGTTTCTGTGTGTTTGTACACAACAAACACAGGTATTTTACATGTATATGCATACTTACACATACATGTATACATACACATATTATATATATTTGCATACAAACACAAGACACTTATGGGTATATTAACTCTTTCACACAGTTTTCGATACAAAACAAAAAATTTATTGGAGTTATCAATGCCCACTAGATCAGGTTGTTCAGGGCCCCACCAAAACTGACCTGATATGTATTCAGAGAGATTTTTTGATTGTTACTCAACAGGAAATAGATAGTAACTTTTTCCTTGCTGCAGGTCTTCCAAAAACACTAATCAAAATATTTTATCTCTAAAATGTTTCTTTTTATGTGACAAAATGGAATTCTGCAGTTAATCATTGCATCAGTACATACCACAACTCCAAACTGTTCTGGCTCAGCAAGATCATTATATTCATCCTTTAATTCAGCTAAGGCATTGAGTTCCTTCTGCTCAGGAAGATTCTTCACTAGGTTCTAAAACAAACAAGGCATTATATCAAATTTGTTATATTAAACTAACTGAGATATAAAAATAACACGCTTAAAATACCACAACATGGAAATGAATGAGGAAATTATGGGAAGCTTATTTTATTTACGCAGTTTTAACACTATATAAACATCAAATCAAATCAGTAATTATTTAATACAGACATGAACTCCTCTGTTACAGTCTCTGATTTGAAGAATACCTTCTCAGTATTAAAAGGTTGGAGTATAATTTTTCAGGGCCTGACAGCATCAAGAGGTTTTGTCTATCTACAATCTTTTTTGCCCTACTGATTGCATCTTGCTCATTAAATATTAATCAAGAAATAACTGCTCTGTGTAAAACAAGACATAACTAGCAAAAAAAAAAAAAAAATTACAATCTTCAGACATTCCAAGTAGCTGTGCACAAAACACACTCCAAAATACCTTACACAAAAAAAGGTCTACATCTCAAAATTGTACAGATCTTTTGGATGACAAATATACTGGAACTCAGCAAAAAGCTCAAGTTGTTTGCAATCCTATCCATGTCCCCAAAGAAATGCGTATTAGTATATGATCTTAAGATCTCAATACTGATATGCTAGATCTATAAAATACTTATATTAAGGTGGAAGAACATTGTTTTAAGAGATACTCAGTAGAAGTTTAGTTTGCATTTAAACTTTCATATATACACCAGTAGAAATCAAAACAATGTCATTAATTAAAAGAAAACCATTTCCATTCCAGTAAGCATCAATAGAAAAAGAGTTATGCGACTGTTAAAAAAGTAACCAACACTGGAGAAGCATATTTTTTTCAGATATAAAAATTTAAATTGGAGAAAATCTGTACTATTAGAGGTACAAATGTCTTATTTTTAGAACAGACCAATCTTGCCATCACTCTGGCAATATCCTTATTCATTTTGAGAATTTGATTACTGATCACTCTGCCAGGCTTGAAGGAGAAATCAAGGTACGACCTGGAGAAAGGCATCAGTCTAATTTGTCAAATTTGCAAGTGACAGCAAATGTAATTCTCCAAGATGAAAGAATCATTCACCCACCTTCATAAAGAAAACTAAAGATGACAAGCAGTCTCATACAAAACATCCCTGTTACAGAGAGATTTTTATATTCACACTAAGGGGTTGCTGAATATCTCAGCAAGCAGAGTTGAACATACAGAGACTGACCTCCATGTCACACAATTAAGCTGTAGCTTCGTGCTTAAACCTAAGTATGTTTCCTTTCCTATTAACCCAGACCCATGTCCTACTCTATCAACACTGCAGGTCCTTTTTTTAGATACATATATATAGATACACACATATATATGTATGTTTATTTTCATTAAATGTATTGAATAACTGAAAATAAAGATGAAGCCTTCAGTGACCACATATTCAAATCCTTGTCAGTAGTTCAGGAAACAGTTCCATAATGTATTCATGATGATATGGGTTTACATAAAAATAAGGTATATAAAAATGGTTAACACAAACATGAAAAGGAATCTAAGGTTGACATTAAGAGGTTGAAACTATCAGTCACTACTTACTGTCCCAAGGCCCTAAATGTATGGTTACAAAAACTTAGTCCCTCATAGACAATTCCTCAAAGGAATTGAAAACATTTTTCCCTAGAGCATTGTCCTCAAGGAAGAGATACAACAGTATAGAGCCTACTGTGTACTCAAACTCATTAATCCAATTTATTCTACTAAGTATTACACCATAGCTTTGAAAAGCAGCAGGAAACAAGGGCTTGAGAAGCAAAATTGAAAAAACACTTTGCTACTTGCTCAATTATGCCATACTCATTTCACTTCCACCACTTTGATACTTAGAACAAAGTAGTTTCTACATGTGCATTTTTAGCAAGTGGGAGTTTTGCTGGGCATGAAAGAAAGCAACGTTTGGTTTGTACAATTTTTCCAATCAGTAGTATTGAAAACTGTTAAACTGGTAAGTTAGTTAATAGCTCAGTTTAAGATGAAAATAAACCAGAATAGACAGAACATGAAATAGATAACACACCCCCATTTACCCCAATATATTTCTAAGAATATCCCCTGAAACACAGAGGAATCTCTTCCAGGTTATCAGTTGTGTCTCCCTGCTACTGGAAGCAGCTCTGCCACACCATTCCCTGCAGAACAGGACCAATCTTAAAAACCTTCGTTTTGTGAAGATTATAGGCTGCTGAGTTTCTAGCCAGTTGCATTCATGATGAACTCACATACATTTATTCTGGTGCTAACATTACCTTTTACTTATGCAACTTCATTTTTCTCCCCAGTGCTTACACACATCACTCCTCTCCCCATACGGTTATAATGTAGTCACATCCCTCACAGCTATTTATATTGCTGATCTAATCAAGCCAATCTTTTTTGCTTCCTTCTGTAGACTGTTTCTCTATCCCTCAATCATCTTAAGTAGTTTTTAAGTTCAGCTTCTCTATTTTAAATTCATTTTTGAGAAATGTACCAAGTATTTTAGATAAGGTCTCAGAAGCACCCTATTCAAAACCATAAAAATTATCCTCTCGACTGACAATCCTTGACCTGATACACCTTGCAATCACATTTGCCTTTTTTATGGTGTATGAGGTCAGGCTGGGACCAAGTTAATTTACTTCATAGCAGCCCATATGGCGTCACTGTGACTTGTGACCAAAACAGTGCTGACTTACCACTGGTTTAGCTACTTTGAACTACATTTGTAGTAGAAATAACCAATCTGAAGCCTCTCTGTGCTTCAGTTATCCAAGGTGGGGTTATTTCCTCACTCTAGACTCTTGATTTTCCTAAACCTGTAGGCTTCCTAATCACATAATCTGACATTCCTGATCAATAAAAAGTCCAAATTAAAATTAGGACTCTGTACTGAGGCACCTCAGTTTAGCCTTGCATCCCCAGAAAAACCAATTTCTATATCCAAGAAAGAAACAAAAATTAATTTTAAAAAACCTCAAGGGCAATGGGACAAAGGTGCCAACAGGAGATAGGGAAGGACGAAAGGATAAACTGGAGCTCAGTATGTTAGCTAGAATCTGAATCTCTGTATGATATTAAATAAAACAATTCAACACCAGTATTACTGGTGTGCTAAATCTTTACAACTTTTAAGCTTTACTTGCTTCTCTGCTGTACTGTGGTTCCCCAGAGATCATGAGGGGTTGTGACCCTCCTGCAGTGAGGAAGTCAGAGAGGGATGTAAAGAAGTTGTGCTCCACATTTGCTTGTCTCTGGCTGAGAGACTTTGAGCTCACTTTGAGACCAAAGCAGCTTGAGAGAAGGTTTCATTTGCAGATGGTTTTTGAGTTGCAGCAGTATCCCGAAACATTCAGGTAATTTCATCTCTCACTAGAGACAAGCAGAGTTGTTGCAGAGTTGTTTCCATAACAAGCCTGATAAAACTTGATTATCCACCAGCCTAAATCTTCTTCAGCTTGTCTTCAAAGCTAAAAAAACAATTCTTAGAGATTTCCTTTTGAAAGGGAAACTTCATCAAGTGGGAGATGGCAAGGTACTTCTGTTAACAGTATTTTTGAAGACAGTTTTACAGCTACATGTGACCATGTTCAACAGTAGAAGTGAAATAAATAAAGCAGTAAACACCACTGACACACCTGTAGCTGATAACCCTCTAAACTATTCCTACTCTTGAATTCTTATACCTTCACACATATTGACGTAAAAAACAAGCTATTAACAAAACCAGAGACATTTTCACATACCTGAATCAAGGATTCACTCAGCTTCTCTTCATCAACCTCTAAAATGATATTCTTTATTTCTTCATAAGGCAAACGGAAAGAACCCAAAAATATTGCTGAAATTCAGTAATACATAATTAGAATCAAAAAGGTCAAAAAGATTGATATAGAGGCAGACTTAATTTCTAGCAACTCAAAAATCATATCTTAATCTAAATTATGTTTCACAATTAAGAAGTGTCCTATATAAAATAAATGTTAGATGAGACACACTACTGCTGTTTGACTTCTAATAAATTTCTTCTCTAAGAAATGAAACTCTGACACTTGTAACTTTTTATCAGCCTCAGTTGCTCACTAGCAGTCTTACTTAGCAATAAAGTCTCATCTTTATGAATGACATCTATATTACTACTGAAACAGATCTATTCAGCCACTAGAAGACTTTACCTATTATTATTTTGGCTTTTATAACCATGTATGAAGAGCTGTACAGCATTTACAATTGGATAAATGATACTTAAAATATTCTAAAAAAAATCCACATCAAAAGGGTGATGAAGAGCTGGGCAAAGAAAGAAAAAATGCCCTAACTTTACCACTTTCTAGGATAGCTGAAGTTATACAAGAGACAACATATAGTGCAAAACCTTCAGAGGGGAAGTTCTCAAAGTAATTTGATCTCAGAATGTTATGAAATCTCAAAAGAGCCCCATTCAATAAACTATAAAGTATTAAACACGGGTGGATTAGCATAACACTTGAATCAAGTGTTCTATATTCAGCCTAACTATTATGGCTGATTATCCTGCACCCATGTTTTCAAAACCTGAAGATTTATATCAGTTATGTCATAGTTCATTTTCTGCTTAAAAAAATGTGCTCGTAGACGTGGTAATAAAAAACGCACAGATTTGGTTTTACACACTTATTTGCCATGAGTATAGTTGGACTAGTGACATTTTATGGTATTTCCAATTCAAATGAAAAGAATTCATTACTCTTAAAGATTGACTTCCTTCCATAATTAAAGAGAGAAGAAGCAAGTTAAATGAAAGAGGTGGGGCTATTTTCCTTACAATTTATAGGAGCAGTATTTGCACTATTTAGTTAGCCTATTTGGTAATATTTTTCTCTTTAAACTTGTAACTTCCACCAAGCTCTATTTCTCCATTACTCTAACCAGAAAGGACCTAGGAATGGCCTGTCCACCCCAACCAATAAAACCTATCAACACTATGCCTTGGCCAAACTAGTGATCATCATTTAATTACACTTTCAGTGTAAATCATTTTTTCCATTTTACTTTTTTTAATTTTTCCCAAGTTGTCCAGTGAATTCAAAATGTGTTTAAACACTTCTGAACTTAAGACTCATTTCAAATTAGCAGTTTTTAGAAAAAAAAAATGGCACAAGAAAAATTAAGAACAATCATGTGTGTATATGCTAATTAGATATTGACCTAATGCATTTCACATCACTTACATAAATTTTGTGCGGATTTTCCATCCAAAACTCTTAATTCTTTGATCTTTTTCTTTGACTGTGCTGCTTTCTTTTCTTCCGATTCTTCTACCGGTTTCTTGGCTGAAAAGAAGGTATTTATTAAATTCTGATTCATTATTACAACTGTTCAATCTTAGCTAATAAAAACTCCATTAGAAAGCCACATCAAAGCATCTTTAGAATCAGTTCAAGGCAAACTGACTACTCCCTCAACCTCCTGTAAAATATCCACAGACACATAGCAAATTTCCAAAAGTAGAAGGAGCATGAAATAAAAATATGACAACGACCAATCTTTCCAAGTACTACCAAATAATATTTATATATTTTAACCCACACCATTTCACTTCAGCTCCAGTTTATTCCAAGCACTTTTAAAAATGCAGGGACTTGGTGTCACTTCAAAGCACACGAGTGCCCTCTGTTGATATATTAATAATATTAATAAGTTCTTCATCCCAAACCAACAACATTAGTAATTTGATATTTATCACACTGAACAAAGGTATGTTTTTACTAATTATTTATGTTGTCAGTGGTAAAGAGCAAAACCAACTAAGAAAATAGCATACCTTTTAATTGATTTCTTTGAAATTAGCAATGATCACTAGACTTTATATTCAGCACTTGAAATTATATAGAAAGAAATGTGGTATTGAAGTACCTAAAATATAAGCTGATTTCTTGCATAATTTAAAATAGTCCATTTCCACAGAATTTTCTTAAGCATTAATTAAGTAAACCCATTAAGAAGGATTTATTTCCTTTTAAATATCACATAATATATTTGGCACTGAAGGAATAGAATCTGAACGTGCTTAAGAGTAATTGAACTTAATGAATATTTTAAGTCATTCAAAAGTAACTAAAAAATTGGAAAGTCAAATTAAGAGGAAGTTTCAAGCAGACTTAACACAGTTTTCTTCTCTGAGCACTGTCTTCTGTTGTACTATAATGAGCTATCATGGGTTTCTCCTAAGAAAACATGTTAATTTTTAGTGCAGAGAATAAAAAGAAAACCCTCAGTTTCTACCTCTTATAATAAAAAAAAAAAAAAAAAAAAAAAAAAAAAAAAAAGAACATAGAAAATAGATATTTGTCTCGCTACACACATTACTACTTGTAAAACATCTGGCACCAAGCAATTCTATGGGTTTATAACACTGAATAATTAGTTTACCTTGGGCATTTTTGTACCAGAGCTAACTAAGCCAGTACCAAACAGTTCCCTCATTTCCAGCTACCACTAAATAGTTTAAAGCAGGAAAAGCTAAACAGTAAAGATGATTGAAGAAGAAAGCAACACTTGCTCTCCTCTTGCCCTGCCATTTCTCTGCAAGCCTAACGTGACCAGCTGGCTTGGTATTTGTAAAAGCACAGAGCTACACATCACCAGATAATCCTCAAAATTCCCACCTGCACTGACCCTTTAACTAGAATGAGCTGCCATTTAAAATTCTAAAGTGACACTACATCAAGTAATCAGATCCTTATCACTAATTGTTCTCAATTAAACAAGGAAATAAGACCAGGTGCTCAACAGCACAAACAAAAAAACACCCAAGAGTGAAAAATTAGTTGTCCCATGAGAAGGTAACAAGCATTATGAGCTGTGTTACATCAACAGGAGGTACTGCAAAGCCCGGATTTGTGTCTACTGAGACAGATGAGAAAAATTATTCAAGAAGATGAATGACCTATTCCAAATTCAATCTTTTTAAGAATTAAAGCCTCCAGATTTCCATATATGACTGAGTCTAAAGTGTTGAGCAACACACACCCTCACAACGCACTCAAAGAGGACTGGACTTTTCACAGTAGCTAGGAACCTCAAAGACCAGCCTGTTCTGTAACCAGCAAATGACAATAAATACAGATATTCCAATGTGTAATCATATCAATCCTGTGGCTTGCAAAACTGTAGAGGTAACAAAATAAAAAAGAAAACAAGAGTAAAAAATGTTTTTGTTATTAAATGTCACCTCACACAAAGGAAATTTTCTTCCTACTCTGGTAATTCACACAACCTGATCAGAAACAGTGAGAGAAACACCTTTGTGAGCAAGAGTTCAAGGGCAAAGGTGTTAGACGAGCCCAACGTAAAACAGGTTTTAAATTGCACAGCTACTACAGTGGTTTGGGGTGTAAGCACATGATATTTCATACACACACAGAGGATGGGCTGAGTCACAACGCACAACAGTAACTTTGCCTGTAGAGGGCAAAGAATCAGTTGTCCTTATTACCTCTCCTCACCTGTATCGAAGGTGCACTCCTCTAGTGGATGTAAAACTAGGAACCACATTCAGAACACAGAAGACACTGTTCAAAAGTTTTACAATAAACCACAGCTACTCTTACCTACTTAAGCCTGAAGGGCTATAACACCATCAGTTATAAATAATCCATTTTCTTATGTCTGGAATAATTTTTTTTTTCTATTTAAAAAAGCCCAGGGAAGATGTTCCTTCCAAAGGTTCTTATCTTTCCATGCATGAGCCTTCAAAGTTAACTTCATGGCTATTCACAAAAATCAGAGAAGCACTAGAACCAGATGCTTATGTGACTGCACTAAAGTCATGATATAGCACGAAGACCAAACTTACCAATCCAAAACTCATAGATAGAAAGAAACATTTTTAAAATTTTTAAATTAGACAACTACTAGAATTTCCCCACCACTATATGACCCACACTTGAGCTGGCATGAAGCATCAGAGCTATACAAAGCCATGCTCTTCCCTCTTCTATCAGTGACTCTCTCCCTCTGATCACACAGTTCATTTCAGCAGTGAGTCAACTGTGATAGAACCATGGATTACAGAATTATGAAAAATAATTAAATTAATTAAAAAGATACTTGGAACTTCACAGAATCAACAGACTATTGCTGCCCAACATCCTAAACCTTGGTCAGATTCTCCCTTCACAAGCACCTGTTTAAAGATGAGGCACATTTTGGTTGGATGGCACAGAACCAGAGGGAGAGATGAAAGAAGGATTTTATAGCAAACAACACAAGGTAGTTCAGGAAAGCAAGTCGAAAAATCAATCTGGAAGCTCAAGCAGCTCTATTACTTCATACAGGCCTTGAGTTTAGTGCTGTGATTATTCATCAAAGCACTTTGATAATGGGACTGACTTACATCTTCATTCTAAATCAGCATTTTTTTAAACCAAGTTCTTACAGACAGCACCCAGACCTGGTCACTATCATACCCAGGTTTCCATAACAAAAATGGTCATATTTTAGAAAGAAAGGGGTAGCAGAGAAGCAACTTCCTTACTTTCTGACCCAAACTGACTAAGCAATAAATCACTGAGAGCAAGAGCTCAGCTCTCAGCTCTGAAGCCTTATTCCATGGAGTCCAATTCCTCCCCAACTCCCTGCTGAGCCATCCACATCCAAGCACCCTGCTGAAGTTGGCTTTTCTTCTTTCAGAACGTGACAAGCTTTTTCCCCACCTTCTATAGTCAGCTGTTTCTCCTCCCAGAACATACTAATCAAGTTTCTATCAGTCCTCCCCTGAATTAACAGCCCCGGAAGGATGGCAGAATCCTCCATTAAGTGGCTAAGCCCGTCCAGGTTCTCTAAGAAGTCATTATTTGCACAAGTGACTTTGCATCTCCTTCCAAATTGTCAGCAGAGAGTCCAGAAGTCCAAGTATTTCATCCCCACAGGAAAGCAGCATATGAGCATATGTATCAGAAGAGTTCAGAGTCCAAAGGGCCTCTCAGGTTGTCCTCAGATCATCATGTCTGGGATAACAGACACAGCTCATGTATGTCTGCTGTGTTTAGGTAAAGCATTTTTAAATACCCTACCCTACATCTCTGTGCTTCTCCAGGATGGTTAATACCATTTCATACAAATTTATGTAGATGCATATTTGGATTTACATATGTGTTTGGAATAAATATGTACATACACAAACCAGCACACATACATCTGTGGATTTTTTGCTTTCAAGAAATAGAAAAAATTCTTCACTTGGTTGTTTAAAGTGATTTCCCCATTCATTTGGGAGGAAGTAAGAATCAGGAAAGCATTAAAAAAAACCCCAAACAACAATTAATAGTCACTGACATGGCAAAATAGCCACTAATACGCAATTATCTCTCACCAGTTAGACCTGTAGAAGGTTTTGGCTGGGTTTACTTTTCTTTATAATTTATCTCAAACAGACAAAAGAGGAAGGGCAGCCAGCATGAGAAAGTTAAGGAGAACACGTGCAAGCTTTAGCACACACGAAGGCCAGAAACACAGACCTAAACACCAACATTACATAACTTTATTTTCTAACTTGGAGTTCTATTTTGTTAAAAACATATTTGTTTATCAGTGTTGGAGGAAAAAGCTGATGCAATGTGCTGCAAGGGATTGTTTGCTGTTCATCTGACATTACCCAGCACATGTGAAGCTCGAGGGTGTCCCTTCAGTGACACCTTCAGCTGGGAACTCATTTAATCCCACTGAACGTGCAGAGCTTGAAACCCTTGGAACCCATTCAGGGTATACTAAACAAAATGTTATAAAAGTTTAAAACACATTAAGCAAGACTAATGATAATCGTGGCAAAGAACATAGGAAAACATGTTGAAATACTTTAGAGACTTAATTAAGAAAAATATTCTACCATCACTACTTCTGTAGCAAAAAGAATAAGGATACACGGTTCTTGAAAATTATCATTTCCCACTTGTTCATTAATTCAGCTACTGAAGAGCTTTAAAAGTAGTCTTGACAAATTTTTAGAAATATACATGATTTTACTTAATGGTATTGAAGCTGGTAAGCATTTTACCATGAGCTGAAATGTCCAGTTCATATAAAATTCCTTTTTTTTTTTTAAGAATTTTAATAAGAATTAATAGCAAAAACTGTCAGTCATGAACCTGATGAGAATGAAAATTAAAGGAGATAAAAAGGAGAACTTTGAATTACAGTGTGGAGAAAGCAGAAATTTAGGTGAACTTTAGCTTCAGCCTGCCTTAACCTTAGCCTTAATCTCCAATTTCTGTCAAGTCTGTACACACAGTGAACAAAAACATCCTTATATCGTCATGGGAAATGAATGACT